TATTTATTATTTTAATATTTATGTGAAGAAATTATATATTAAAATTATAATATAAGATTTAATTTTAATATATTATTATTATAAAAAAAGAATTAATTGATATAAGATTTAATTAATATATTATTAGTGAAGATAGTGGTGATGACAATGATAACATGTGATTATATTTTTTATTTATGTTTTTTATACTATATGTGGACATACGATAAAAGTAAATATTGTGGTCATTTGTTTTAAATTTTAGTAGTTTACTTGTTTATAAGATTTCCTATAAATTTACTCATTGTGACATACTTTGGAAGGTCATAGCAACAATATTCAAGAATAGTTTTCATGAAGACTTATCTTGATAGTTTGATCAATCCAATGGGTTGGTTAGAATGGAGTGGTAACTTTACTTTAAGTACTTTGTACTATAAAGAATACATGAACACAGGACCAGCCACAAACTGAGTTAAGTGATTGGATTATCATATTATTATAGGTGGATTGTATAACCAAATTTATTTGTACAGTGTGAAGAAATTGATATAGTTTGTATTTTTTTAGACTAGATTTCTTTATTTTTTCACTAAGTATTATTCTTATATTATGTTTCAAACACGTTTCTATTGAATTAGAATAATTACCATCACCAAGGCTTACGTACACATGATATATTATCTTGTTATCCTTGTCCAGATTAGTATAAACCATCAAGCTCTATCACAACCTCTCATGTAAACCATTTTATTGATTTACAAAATTTTCTTACAAATTTATTTGTAAAATTAGTTGTATAAATTATTTTCTTTTTGTAAATTTTTATACAAACTTTTCTTATTTTCTTAAGAAATTTTTCGTTGATAAATTTATAAAAAAATTACTTATGGACTTTCTTGCAAATTGTTAAAAAAATAAAAAAAAATTGCAAAATTTCTTAAGTTTTTTTTTTACAAATTTTTTATTAAAAATTTACATGCAAATTTTTCTACAAATTTTTCTTAGAATTTATCTGTAGATTTTTTTGTATATATTTTTTTAGAGATTCTATTGCAAATTATTTTTACAAAAAATCATCTGCAAGTTTATTCCTATTAAAATTTGTAGAAAAATTACCTGCAAAATTTATTTTTTGCAGAAATATAACCACAAAGGTATTTTCTTTGACAACAAATTTGCATGAAATATATTTTTCTGCAAATTTTTTATAAATTTTTGCAAAAAAAAAAAATCCTAAATTTCTAGTAATGGATGAGAAACTTACCAAATTTATAGCACTAGTGCTGGAATATTAGCAAAAATAATTGGAAAACTAACTATGATGTGGATAATCATCTTTTAAATAAATAAGTTAAACCTAAACAATGGTGATACCAAGATTCTTAGTGAAATTAGGGTAAAAGGGTACATGTAGCTATATAGCATAAAATACTTTTTATTTTTTTTAAAATATTACAAGGGATAGCAAACGCATAATATATAACATGAATAGTTAATTTGCATTTTTATAGAGACACTAACTTGATAACACTACTAATAATATATATTTTACCTTCCATTGAAAAGAAGTAAGTTTGACAGTGATTATCCACCAAGTTTGAAAGCAAATATAATAACTATACTTTGCCACCATTATTAAATTCCATCCTTATTTTTACTTAGATTAGCTAGTGGAGAACATTGTATAGGATTTTTTTATTTTTTTTAGTTTGACATTGCTTAGTGTTGTTATAAATTTTATTAGATGCATGTAATAAAAATAGTAGAATATAAGGACACTAAATTTGGTGGCTAATGCAAAGAAAAAAAATTAGGTTAAATATACATATCACTATGATTTCTTCAAATTTAATTGGTATCACTTACAAGTATCACAATTCAAAAGATGACAATGCAAAAAGAGTAAGGTTATATAAGTGGTTGGATTTGAGAATTAGGGTTTGTGTAAAATTTTGTGAGAGAGAAAATGGAGTTGAGTGAAGAGTGAATAAAAAAAAATATATTCACTAACATTCAGAATAATTTCAATTCTAATTCCATCAGAATTAAAATTAGTTCAAAATTATAATTTTATATTTGGTGTAATTAAACAATTAGAATGTAAATTTAGAATTTTAGATTGAAATCAAATTTTATAGTGTGATATAAAATCTATTTTTTTTAAAAATTTAATTTTATATTAAAATTTTATTTTATAACTTTTCAAAAATAACGCGTTAATTAAAAATATAAAAATAATTATTAAAGATGATATAATTAAAAAATAACTGAATATTTCTTTTTCAAAAATCATGACATAGTAAATTTATTTTTTATGTTTAATTTCTCATTAGAATTTAATAGTCATGAACTATCTTTCTCATAAATTAGATAAAAGCATACAAATACTTACAAATATAATTTAATTCTCAAAATTTAAAATATAAACTTAAAATACAAATTGATTATAAGTGCTTACGAGAACTCTCATTTTGAGACCATGAGCTAAAATAAATAGAAACATTGCAATAAATTCTTCTACATTTACATGATAAGTATTATGTAGTCTTCTTCTTTCACGTAAAATGTTGCAAAGCTAAAAAAAACTTGTTTAGTAAGACATGATTAATTATAGCAATTTCTGTCAGTTACATGATATAATCGTCTCAAAAGTATACTTTTTAACGTGTCTTTTATCACTCTATTGCATCTAGCACTAGTTTTCTCTTTTTTATTTTTCTTGTACTCTAAATATTTCTTTCGACATCTAACAATTTAAGAAAAGTATTAAACAATTTATTATATAATTAACAGAAACAATATATTTTGCGACAAGTATAGAAAGTGCAGAATAGCAATACGATACAGTAATATAAACATAATAAGCATATAAAAAATGTATAAAAAAAAGAGAAAGAAAGAAGAAGACTTAAAAGAATAACAGGAAGAATAAGAGGAAGAGGAATAGAGAAAAATCACAATTATTAATAATCAATGTAAAACGAGAAAGAAGGGAATAGAGAAACACAAGAGAACATAGAAAAAAAAGTAATATTAATAATCAATGTAAGAGTAGAGTTAAAAGGAGAAGAGAATACAACAAAACAGAAGGAAGAAAAGATGCATAAAAGAAAGAGAGAACAAAGAAAAAGAGAGGAAGAAAGTATTTGGAAAAGAAAATATCAATAGAAGAACAAGAACCATGAAGGTGAGAAACTATGAAGACAAGGAAAAGGCACGTGAAAGTGTATTGTGACTTATAATATTAGAAATTCAAATTCCTAGGGTGCAGGTTAGGAATTAAAGTGGGCCAAATTTAATTGTCATGGAATTAGTCTATGGAATTATAATCTCAATTCCAAATGGACATCCAAACATGATAATTAAATTCTAAAGTCTAATTTCAATTCTGATGTCTAATTTCATACTCAATTCTGTACACCAAACAAGCACTTAAGGGGAATTCAATTTATATAAAAACCTTACCTATAACAAATACTCAAAAGAAACTACTATAAATATTTAATAACTTAATATCCTTAAATTATAAAATAGTGAAAAAACTAAAATATAAATATGATAATCTTAGAAATCTGCTATGACAAATCATTTTACTAACTCATAGATGAGTCATAAACATGCTAATTCATGTTGGTCGTCACCTATAATATATTTTTAATTCATTTTTGTTTGATGAAGCTAATATAAATTATTGTCCATCTTTGATCAATGATAAATCTATATTTTGAAGTATTTTTATATGTTTAACTCTTGTTTGATGAGGATTTTATACCAATTTATTAATTAATTGTTTCAATTTATCATGAATCAATCACTAGCAAATTGAAGAAGCATTTTGGTCACAATTAGAAAAATTTGACAGAAAGCTCGGTCACGTTCAACATAAAGCACAACCTTGTTTAAAAGCTAACTATGCTTAATGGTATGCACGACCATTCTGCTTGCATGGTGATTCAAATTTAAAAACTTTTTAGGGTTTTGAAGAACCCTATTTAAGGGGGAATGAGGCCCAGCAAGAAGAACTTTTTTTGCATAACTGACTTTTGGTAGTTTTAGAGGTACTTTGGAGCTGAGATCATTGGTGAAGATGAAGAGGATTTCCTCAAAGTTTAAGCAAGTGATCAAGAGTGTGTTTAGGGAATAAGAATGCTTTTCATCTCTCTCCATCTAGGATTTCTAGTTTGTGTTTCTCCTTTTTAATATATATGAATTTCTTTACAATCATTTTCATTGGTTATTTCATTACGAGTAAATAAAATCATAGTTAGGACTATGATGAATCCTTCGCATGCTTTTTTTTATCTTTTCGTTTAATGACAATTGTGGTTTCTTTTTTATTGGTTTTTAGCCTAGTGAGCTTATATTTGTATGCTAGGAATTGATCACCCTTAACATATTGTAATTGATTGCAATGTAAGCAATTGTACCACATATAATTAATGAAACTATAGGGTACCACATATCACCCTTACCATTTATTTTCTTTTTATTTAATTTCTTTAATTCTTTAATTCCTGCTTTTCATTTAATTTCTTTGTTATATGATCGCTCAATTTAAGTCTCCTACAGCTTGCATATTTGATTTGAAAGATAAAAAAAATTACACATGGATGAAGGAAAGAGTCCAAATAGTAAAGGATAGCAAAAGGAAGAACTCTGCAAGATTATTTTACACCCATTACTAAGGGCAAGGTTGGAAGTATTATGACTCCTAATGTGGAGGCCAATAACTTCAAATTGAAGTCGACACTTGATCAATATAATTCAAAATTCTACGTAGTCTAGAGGTTCACCTAATGAAGATCCCAACCTATATCTAGAGAAATTATTCTTGTTCACTGATACTATCGAGTACAATGGGGTCATTACTAATGCTATTAGACTTCGCCTTTTCTCATTCTTTATCATGATTAAAGTGAATGAATGGTTCTCAACATTATCAACCGATTCCATCACAACATGAGATCATCTGACTCATCAATTTTTGGAAAAATGCTTTCTCCCATCTCATTCTGCTTAGCTCACCACAAAAATATCTAGCTACAAACAGTATGAGTATGAATCCCTATATGAGGCGTGGGAGCATTTTAGATAACTTTTAAGGCAGTGCTAATACCATGATTTTCCTGTTTGATGATAGTTGCATCTCCTTTGCAATGGGCTATCATTCTCCAAAAGTTGCATGGTTGATGCAACTTGTGGAGGACAATCATAAAGAAAGAGTTAGACGAAGCTTACGCACTGATAGATGAGCCAACAATTTTCAGTGGCAGACAACTAACCACCACATGAGTAAGAAGGATATTGCTCTGATCTATCAGGATAAAAGTGACAATCCATTAGGAAATCAAGTGCAAGCTCTAGCTAGGTATATGGATTCTATCATGAAGACACATGAACAATTAATAAAGCCACTTGTGGCTTTTGAGTGTGAGCACTACAACTCCATAAGCCATGATAGTGTGGTTATTAAATTAACAAACTTATAGATTCTTTTATATTTTCTCTATCTTTTTGCCTTGCATGACCACTGGGGATTATAGTTTAGAAAAAAAGAATGCTAATATTGCATGATCATTGGGTGTTAGTAATTTTACTATGAGTGATTGACGGTCATAGAAAAATCAAAATTAAGATTAAATTAAAATTGAACATAAAGAGGTGTAAAGGTGATAAAAATTGTGTTATTTTCTTAATCTTTTACTTATTTTCTCATTTAACTATTTCACACTTTTATTTTAGTTTATTTTGCACTATTTAGGTTCAAACAATTAAATCACAATATTCTTGATAATCTTTGTAGGATGATATTTTAGAAACTCAATTTAAGAACTCCTTATTATTTTTCAATGAGTACACATGCTCACAAATATTTTCCTTTTTCATTGGTTTTTATCCTTGTGAGCTTATATTTGCATGTTAGGAATTAATCACCCTTAACATATCATAATTAATTACATTGTACACGATTGTACCATGTATAATTAATAAAATTATAGGGTAAAACCTAATTGATTGTATGACCATTGGCTGTTAATAGATTTAGTATGAGTAATTGATAATTGTAAAGAAACTGAAATCAGAACTAAGATAAAAGTAAATATAAAAAGGCACAAAGGTAAAACCATAGGCTCAAGGTTCATTTCGACCGATTTTTTGTTAGAAGTTGCACTCACCTCTTTTCTCTTAATTTTTCTCTTTTAGTTTAAGTCTTTTAGAATTCTTTTACACACTATTTAAATTCACACAATTAAATTCCGATAGTTTTAGTAATTAAAAAAAATCTCTATAAGACAGTATTCTAGAATTTGAGAATCTATTTATTACTATTCAATAAGTACTTGCCCACGAACAATCAACCTTCAACCAAAATTTGGAACCAAGCTAGGTAATTTAGACTAAAGAAAACTATAATTATAACTTTTATTGATTTAATCCACGCTCCTCACATCTTGTTAAGCTATTAAGACTGATTATTCTGGTTTTACACAACTCTATAATCTGGTGATAGTGGCACCATTGAATAAGACCAACGCGAAAGGTTTCTGTTATCATCTAATGAAAGCTTTGTAACGAAGGAAATTATCATAAGAATTATTAACGCCTGCTGTGTGCATTATGGCATCAAGATAATGGAAGGCTAAAAAGAAGTAAACTGATTAAAATAAACAAGATTCAATCACTTATTTTTTATACTTTTTCTTTATACCAAACCACAAAATAAAATAAACTTTGTTCTAATTTTGTTATTAGTATTTTTCATCAATTCGGACAAGTATTCTTAGAGTAAGAAATATTAGTTAGTTAAATTCCAGTTCAGTATTATTTTATCCCCCTTCCTCCAGATCCTTATTGATTGCTGTACAGTAGAGCGGGTAGTGATTTCCAGCCACGTTTTAAATGAATGTTGATATTGTTTGAATGCTTATTTTGATATTTATGTTATATCCCTAATTGCATCGGCCTTGGAATTTCGATCCTTCAGAATTAATGCAAGAGATGTATAAATATTGATCATCCAATTTATGTCATTACATGATAAGTTGTTTTTCTAAAAGTAAAATTCATGACTTTTCACATTTAGATCCAATGTGTTCTGAAAATGCAGAGGATCCATATCCAAGTCTTCAGGAAGATAGTATATGTCACCCGAGTTGTAGTTACTAGTTGATTTTCCTGTTTGTGGCTACCTATGTACTTTTTTTCAAAACAAGTTTGTGTCCTGTTAAATAAACTAAGTTTTGTGTATATTATAATTATAATACAACTATAATAAGCATTTGAGCTGATAGAATGAGACCATACAACATATCACGACATAATATATATTACACAAAAGTAAATACAAATTTTTCATACGTGCATATTCCATGCATCAAACCAGCCAGATATATACCCCATTACCTCTACCGACAAAAAATGATTCAACTATATATAACTACAGTTGCTAAAAAAAAATCAATGAAAAATGAATCTAAAAGTTTTCTTTGTGAAAATCAAACTTGGTGCTGGTTTTCCTGGAGAAATCAAGAGAAAGCCTTTTTAGTTCCCCAACCAATCCATGCGCCCCACAGTAAAAAACACCTGAATACAAAAGATTGAAAATTATTAGCTAAGTAACATGTATATGTAAATTTCAAATATCAAATTAAGAGCGAAAATCAATACTTACCAACTCGTTGGTCAGGGTGTTTGAGGGCTGCATGCTTAAATACATTACGCCAGTTAGGTCTAGCAAAATGTGTTTTGACCCTTGTCCCTGAAACTATATCCACACCACTTTTGGCGTGGTGGAGGGATTGAAGCATTGTAATCAAAGCTGATCGAGCATCTCCTTCTTCATAAACACTTGTGCAATAATTATGAAGTTCAATGACTCCTTCTTTGTCATTCTCTGCTACCTCATTCATCACTCCTCTGAACCATTCAAAAGAACCTTCCTCACGAGTAACCCAGTAGAAATAAGCTCGCTTGGTGGCAAAAGGTTTTCTCTTGTTGTTCTTAACTCCACTTTCCACCGATCCTTCTTCTAAGTCTTGATGTTGCTTAATGTTGTTTAGCACGTCTTTGAGTATGCTAATCAAAGGTGTGGCGCCAATTCCTAGCCCCACAAGAAGGATCACTTCGTAATTTTTGTAGTCTTGTGCCGGAGCTCCATAAGGTCCATCAATCAAGAGCCTTGGCATCCTACAAATTATTTTTGTTTTATTAGGATCAGAAATTAAAGAAGTCATTTTGCCAATTTAATTTTACTATTGTTCTCAATCACATATATGTTTTTTAATTATACACTGAAAATGATATTAATGACAGTTCATCATATAAATATATATATACCTTGGCTTGTTGTTGCCTTGTAGCATATCAGCTCGTAGAAGACCACTTTGGTCATCATTTGCCGGTTGGCATGCCTGCATCAATCATATTGATGTAGAAATAAGCATTTTTATCCCATAAACAACATCAATTAGAGAAAATGTACAATATTCCCTAAATAAAATGAATATAATACATTATTCTCTCTTGCAAAACTCACCTTGGCAAAAACAGCCTTCAGTTGTGAAGTCCAATCACCCAAAGTTCGAATGTGAACGCTTACATAGTCATCTCCCGGAGCTGAAGTAATTGAAAAGGGATGCCTACATATAGATACCAGTACCACACAATTAAATTGAATTTTCTCATAATCGCATGCACTCTTTATTTGAGTAGCTATAGTAGTAATAAGAACAAAAATTCTGATCTTAAATTAGTTACATACCATTCAAATGGGGAGACATCTGAACAATTAACATAAATATACTGGCCACTAGAGTACTTAAATCCTTGTGGCTTGGACACATGCAATGCAAGTACATTTCCTGGGTACACTGCAACCTGAATTTTCAAAGAATAACATTAAAAAATGTCATTGGTAATCAATGAGTGACCCGATTGAAATTAAAACAGAGATGGAGTGAACTTCTTGAGCATGCACCTTTTGAATTTTCACAGATTTGTAACTAGATCTTAAAGCACGGATTAGCCTTTCACATGCATAAAGTATCATGGGAACGGCGAGATACATCCACGTCTGTGCAAATAAATTTTGTGTGACCAAATTCAGCAACCAACAAGATAAAGAAAATGTCCAAGGAAAACAAAGAAGGTGTATGTTTGAGAGTGAGACCACATACCGTTTTCTTGTACCATTTCTTGCTGAGGTATAGGAAGTATCCGTGAATGATAAAAAGCACATAGACAATGACAAAAAGGTGGTGGGAATACCAAAAGGCATTGAAACCAGTGAGCTTCTTAAGGGGTTTAGGGAGGTTTAGTCTGTTCCGACGGAACCATGGTTGAGCCAAAATAAAGGCTATGGCCATAAGCACCACCATGACCACCCCAGTCCAACCCTCTGTCCCTTTCACAAACCACCAATAATTATTTGGCCTTTTATCCCCAAAAAATGGTTTCATGGGCTCATATTCTGCGTCCGTAGCATGTAGTAACCTTGGGAAGTCACATGTTAGATGTGAAATCGCATGCAACCCAACCCCAATAGCAATCCCAAAAGCTACCACCTATATAAGTAGCGGAAAAAGACCCAGAAAGTTCAAGTTAGTAGTGCAATTTAATAAAAAATAATAATGTAACCATGTACTTTGTTTTCACATTGTGGGTATGTACCTTGTGAAAGTTGATGTTGTCATCAAAGGGAACAACTGTTCCTAGTTTGGTCCTGCTTCTAAGCCAAGTGATGGTGTTTCTGCAGACAGGCAACAAGATCAAAGCCATGTTGAACTTGAGTGTTTCAGCACCGCCTTTAGCTGTTGTGACACAATAACCCATGACGTGGAACACAGCACGGTGCTTGTATTGGATGAACTTCCAAGTGAAAAGACCAGCACAAATTGAAAGCCATAGAGCTATGACCCATAGACGTTTCCAATTGTCCTGCACAAAGTATGCTAGTGCCCGAAAGCCTCGCTTGATGGGGTTGTGCTCTTTTGTAGGAACTAGCTTCTGGCTCAGCAATTGGCTCAGCACTCTACTATCCGTGGTTATGTGGGTTGATTGTGCCGGGGCTTGCAGAAGAAGCATTTCCAAGTTGTATAACTGCATCAGACCATACATTACATTAGGGAACATTTTTCATAATAATTGGGCCTTCACAAAAGCTTGTAGTGAAAACCCAATATTGAAGGTTAGGTAACTACTTCGAATGTGTCCAATATATATATACACACTAAAAATAATTAAAAACAAAACCTAATTCAAGATATACACTTTGCTAACTCAAAAAATGAAGCATTTAAGATAGGAATAGTAAGATATTACTATTTTAAGTTAGTGTTGATTATTAGTTAGTGTTGATTATTCGTATAAATAAGATTCTTGAAGTCTCAAGAGATTGATAATAATGAGAGGACATTAGATACTCTAGGTTTGGTCATTCAACTTAATTAGTTCTTATCGTATTATCGTTGTTGCTATGAATCAAAATTTAAAGAAGAATGGTATGTTTGATAGTTGATTTGTATACCCAACATATTTTTTAATAAAAAATTTCAGCGTGTTTTGTAAGACTGGTCCAGAGTTTTAATGTATCAGAAAAGATTGGTCCAGTTTTAATGAGGCCCCAGCCTGTAAGGAATGGAATGATGAAATTTGGGTGCATTTCCAGCGAAAGTGCTAATTCTAAATGGCCAGCCGAAAAGATGCGTCCTCATTTGGACGTGCAAAATGTCAGCGAAAAATAAGGAAAAGCACCCAATGCCAATGCACAGGAATGCAGCATACCTACCGAGCCTAGGAATAAGAAAACAGTGACCAAAATTACACATATAAACACTACCATCAAAGTATTTATGAGGGGCCATTTTCTAATCCATAAACTTAATTTGTTTTGAATTTATCTATGTGTAGAATATAAACCTCAATGTATCCAAGGTTGTCCGGATCCAGCTCCTCCATGATAAGGGCAGCATATTCCTCTGCACGTTCTTGTATTTTTGACAACTTATTAGCTGAAGCGCTCAGGGTTATAATCTGCAAATTAAATCATTCAACAGTGTTCAAAACTCCACAAGTCCCAAATAAAATAAGCAATCTAACATTGAAAATTTGAATTTGAATTTGTAAACATTAGGCATTTGGTTTAATGGTCGCTCAGTCGATCAGTAGAAATAATTGGGTGTTTTCCCTCTCTTTTAAGTTAAAGAACTCTTACATGCATCCTTATATATCAAATAATAATAAAGGTAAATTTCAATTTGGGACATTTCTTTCTATTTGATAATAAGCTCTTACCTCTTTTACTTCTTCTTCTGTAATTCGTCCATCGGCATTCTTATCCACCCTGAGATGAGTTTAACTTAATAAGTTAGGGAAGAATTAAATAGAAGTGCATGCTGACCTAATAGACTTGCAATAGTTCTTACGTTCGGCTAAAAAATATTATTTTATTTTGACTAAGATTGCATACGTAATTGTTCAAAATGTAGCTACTTTCTATGTATATTTTTCTTATAGTCAACCAATCTAATAATAATATAAATACATTACTGCTTATCATTTTCATATGCTCATTTATGGCTGAGTTGAAAATAGTGAGTCAAATAATTCGAACCATAAAGAGAAAAAATGCTACGTTGACGCTAACGAAATATAGAAAAATAGTTGCAAATAGAAATGCAAACTCAAACTATATTCGACCAAAGAAATTCATAACCTAAAATATTTTTAATAAAAAAATTAATATGTAGGGTAGTATATATGACGCATGATTTCACATGCAAATTCCACAAAACGCGGCACGTCCTTTTCCAAGTCTTATAGCGGGAAAAAAAAAATTATAAGTGGATTCCACCCGCGTAACGATTTCCTAGCATCATTTGAAAACTGAGCACTCAATTGTTACATTAGTCCAAATAAGAAATATTTCTATATAACGAAGCCTATCTTTATGGGCAATAAGTTGAAGGCAATGAAACCCATCTCTTTCATGCTTCCAAATTAAATCATATTTCTTTAGTCATGCATATCCTAATTAAGTAATTTGTCAGTACCAAGAAAATGCAATGAGCTTCCTATTGAAAATGCAAATTAAACGAAAATGAAGATGGAATGAAGTCTTACATGTCAAAAAAGGTCTGAAGCCTTGAATCAAAGCTCTGATCCGTAATTTGCTCCCAAAATTCACGCAACTCATCCTTTGTTATGGAAGCTGATGTTATGCCCCGACGACGAGCCAATGCATCAAACAACTCCCCGGCAAACTCCTTCGACTCGTTCATTCCTAGTTGTCATCATTTCCACCCAAAATTAGATCCACGAAGAGTTTCTTAATGCAAATGCAAAAGTAATTAGTGACGGATACTCATAACAGTAACAATACAAAATTATTTTCTTTTATTTTAGTGTATATTCTTCAAATATGGAGAGAGAAAAAAACGAGACATGCATCAATTATTGTCTATCCTGTACATTGACAAACTATTGTATATAATGTCCCATAAATCAATTTATTTGTCGTAAAATAATAGAGCTGTCCAAGAGTAATGATAAATGAGAAATACTACTGCTAACACATCCTTTGTAATTGATCAATTTTTAAAAACTTGAAACATTTGTTTCATAAATGAAGTGTTTATAAATATGATTTTAATTGAAAAAAAAATAATCGTATGGAAGATTTTGAAGGGTATATTCCTAAATTGGTGATAGATACACGTAGTAACATACCTATGCACTGGCTAAAGCGAGTCTTGGAAAGCTTTCCATCAACGGCCAACTCATCGAAGCGGTTCTCAACCTGGGACCAACCTTCAGTGCCAACGTTTTTGGTCATGAACTTGAGACCTCGTAGAGCACGAGCAGCACCAGATTTGGTTCTGTCAACTCTATCGAAAGCCTTGGACGAGGTCATGCGCTTCAGCTCCTGCGACACCTGTCTCAGCCGAGCCGAAAGCGACGACGGACGCATCTCGAGCCGGCTGGCCAGAAACGCCGTCTCGGAGTCGCCGCCGCGAATGTTCTGGACGGACACGGAATCATCACGGACGTCCAACGTAATCTCCACCATGTCATCGTCGCCCTTGAACCTGGCGCTTTTGTTCTTGCTGCCGCTCCTTTTGTTCGAAACTAAAGGCCCACTCAGCGGCCCACTGAAGCCCACTTGCGTGCTTCGGCTTCCCGTGCTCTCTGTCTCCGACCATGCCTCTTGTTGGTTTTCTTGAATCTCCATGCCTATTATTCTCTTCACTCCCCCAGCTAATGTTTATGTCTATCTACCTTGATATATAGATTTTTATTTATGGAAATTGAGCTGTACAACTTACGACCCAATGGTAAGTGTGCTGTAGTTGGGTGTGTGGGGTTATTCTTTTCTTCTCTTTTCTTTTTCAACTGGAAATGTGTTGAAGGCTTGGATAAGGAGGGTTTGAGGGTATGCTGAGAAATTGGAGAGTGAATGGGAAAGTTATTATATATATATATATATACACATAAAGAGTGTGTGTGTGTGTGTGTGTTGGGTACGTGGCTTCGTAATTGGGTAAGGTTGAAAATTGAAATAAATTGGGAGGAAATGAGAGGTGAGAGATATAAGTCAAATAATGGGGGAGATGAATCAAGGGGCGCATGTGGATATTGTTGTGGTGGTTTTGGGCGCGTTAGTTGACGAAGACGGACGGAGAGTTGTTGGCATTCAAATCCTTCTGTGTGTTCAAACTTCAAACGACATTGAGGAAGAAAGAAATCCGTTTATCCACATTAACTATTTTACGTGGGGAAGCAGCTAAGAAGTTGCATATATGGCTTTAGTTTTCACAATAACCACAAAGCAAAAACAAAACAAATTCCACTTTCAAGTGCGAGGATAGACTCTCCCAACAAAATATTGGGGTAGGCCAGTGGAGTGAAAGTGACATAATTATTGCTTCTTCGTCTTTCCCTTTTCTAGAACATTATGCGCTACCATTCAAAGTCAAACACATGTCTATTTTTTTAACTCTTATTATGTTATCTTCCAATTTCATTTACATTCTATTAACGTCCTCCGCTCACTTCAGTAAATTTTTAGACAAGTTCAAGTAGAGAATTTAAAGATAGTCTTATAAATTTATCAGAAAAGCTTATTATTTTTTATATTAATTTATTTTTTCTTATCAATCCAAATTGAGTCTTAAATATACGTTTCTGATCACGAATTTTGTGCTAAAAGAACTACCGTGGAATTTCGTGTAACATGAGAACGGGTTTGAATGTAGGCTGGGATCCATCACATATGTGTGAACGAGTTTCTAGTTAAATAATTACTGTTAACGATAGAATGATTGTTAGAGTTGCTAGAATATTATACAGTGAGGGCATTTTATGAGAATAGTAATTATAAAAAAATAATGCATTTTAACTTTAATTTTAATTTTTTTTTTAAATTGACAGGGAAGGTAAAAATAACACCAACAAGAAAACATTTCTGGTAAAATCTTTAAAAGCATAATAAAATAAATAAATATATTTATTGAAAAATACATTAAGAATTGTCAAAAATGCTAAAACAAGTATTATGTAAATTTTTTAATTAAAATAAATAAATTTATTAACTAATTGCCCTAGTTAGTATTTATATGTATCAAGTAAATCAAAATAAGAGTAAGATTAAACACAAAATTATTATTATTAAAGATTTTTTACAAAAATTATAATTCTAATTTTAGAGTTTGATATTTGACTATCCCTCTGTGTATAAAACTTCACTTAGTGTCATTATTTTTTCAATTATTGGTTTTAAAATCTCTTTGGAATGTGCCGTTTTGTGAAACAGAAGGAATCCGTGATTGATTTAAAAATAGCAGAGGGCGTGTCAGTTGCTCCGAATGGCGTCCCTGGTTCAATTATTAATAAGGAAAGATGTCATTATCAATTTATATAGAGTGTTGGAAACAAATAATCTTATGGAATGACCCGATAATATTTTGGTTGTTTTAAAATAAGAGAATTTTCTATTAAATGGGGCTTAAAAACTCAGAAATACAAGAATAGAAAAACAAAGAAATAGGAGGTTCATCAAAATAAGAATAGATTTCAAAAATTTCCAAATAGATTGGATTAGAAAGGGGAAAAAAAAAGTCTAAGCTATCTTGAACATTCAATACAAATTTGAGAGCAGTTTTAGAGTCATTCTCAATTCGTATGGTGTGAATACCAGCACGAAGACTAATTTAACTTCCATGAAAATACTCTGCAGCCCAACACTAAGAAAGAGTAAGGAGCAATGATGTTAGTAAAACTAGAGACAAATCAGAATTCCACAAGAAGTCATTTGACTCAAAGAGGAGAAGGAGTTATCCACATTTAACTTGCGTTGGCAAGAGACAAGAGAAGTCCGTTTAATCATCACTAGATCCTTAGCATGCCTAAGAAAGAAATTGGGACACCCCAAAAATTGGAAAAAATTTAATTTATATAAGCTAAAATTTTATGAACAAAAAAATATTTATGAAAAATAAAGGAATTTTGCTCTTTTCATAAGTATCAAATAATGGTGGCAAACAAAATATTCAATTATGCAATATATTCTTTTTTTCCTTATAAATAAATTATAGGAGAACTAGTTTATAAGACCTAAACTAAAAACATAAATCTAGTACTAAGGCAAAATAAAGTAGTCTCATACATATTTAGGATAAAAATAGTTTTGAAGAACATGTATCACAGTTTAAAGAGTCTCATTACATTTGGAATAAAGATTAGCGTCTAACATTTCTCTCTTAAACCTTTATCATTTATAAACAACTTGTCATGGGCCACTTTTTACAAAAAAAAAATTATTGTAGGAGACCTTTTCCATCTCCAAACCAAATTAAACTGTATTAGGAGAATAAGTATTTAATGGTTTAGAAATTAAACTATAAGCATGCATGATGGAAAAAAAAATCATTTATAGATAAATTTAAGAAGGTTGAATCTTGACCATTTGAAATAGAAAGGGGCTTAATGCTAGCAATAACAACATATTTGTCTTAGGAGAATATCTTGAATTTTCTCCCAAGTTTAGCAACCATTAGAAGCAAACAAAGCTATATACAAATCCTTATTTATATCAAGAACGGACTAAAGGGAATAATTGGTTGAAAAACTAACATTTAAAACTCAATTATTAACTCAAAATTTAAAAGATAGACCAACTCGATAAACCAATTCAACCCTTAATATAAGGAAGGACAAGTTAAGACTATATCTCTTCAAATATGATAAGTGTGTTGGAAATTACTAACAGTGTGATTTTAACCCAATTTAAATTTATATTTAAAAGTTAAGAACTTGGGCCCATAGGTCATTAGTTGAGCTAATAAACCTTCAACCACACTTTAACATAAGAGCCAAATTTAGCTTTTGTAGGTCCTTAAAACCTATACCCCTTTCTAACTTAGCTCTACATATGTTATGTCAGCCAATCAGGTGAGTTTTCCTAACTCCAAGGGACCCTCAAATAAAGTACTTATATATATTATTTAATTTCATTACAAACAACAATAGGAGTTAAATACATAGTTTGAAATACTCACGAAGTAAGACTGAACAAGAGTAATTTTATTAGCTAATGAAAGGGACTTTATTTTCTAAAGAAAAAGTTTTTTTTATAATTTTATTAATGATAAAAATAAATTTCTACCTAGACAGGCTATGATGCTTACTAAGAATATTTAAGTAATTTCCAAAAGATTTAACATATTTAATACATAATGTCTTACAAAATTCCTAAAACCACTATTAGTATTTTTAGGGGAAAAAAAGAAGAGAATTTGTCTTTATTAACTTTTTGTCCCAAAAATAAAAGTTTTGATGCCTAACTTTTATAAAAAGAGCAGCTTGTTGTAGACTAGCTTGGCCACTAAAAAAATATCATCGATAAAAAATAAATGAAAAATTTGGAGCCTTAAGTATTAAAAGAAAAAGGCATCCAATCACCATTTAAAACATAATCTTTTATTAAGTGAGTAAGCCTCTCCATACATGTGATAAATAAATAGGGAGATAGAGGGTCCACATCCCTAATGTCTTAAAAGAATTAGAGAAACTATTTTGTAAATCCAAACCCATAGTAAAGGACAACATACACAAATGTATAATATTAACAAAATTAACTTTAAGACTAATTTTCTAAAGGGTATCAACAATAAAGTTCTATTTAAGTTTATTATAAGCTTTTTTAAGATTAAATTTCATAGTCATATAACAAGTTTTTCCTTCTTGTTTATTAAAAGAATGAAGTGATTTTTTAAGAATAATGATATTATCAATACTTTGTCTGTTAAAAATGAAATTGCTTTAGGTTTTTAAGATTAAAAGAGATAAAGAAGTCTTAATCCTGTGAGTTAGAGCTTTTGTTACAATTTTATAACTAACATTATCCAAATAAATGAGTTTGAAATTATTAATTGTTTTAGGATTCCTAGATTTAGAAATAAAAATAATTTAACTTTTATTAATTGGTGACACTTTTTTAGAATTATTAAAGATATTTTTAATAAGGTTAAACAAAAGAAGTGAGATAAAAAATTCTCAAAAGTAATGTTAACTGACTAAAAAAAGGCTTTAACCTTCTCCAAGGTTAAATTAAAAGTATAATATATCCTTATCATTATTTTTAAGAAGTAATTTATTAAAAATAAGATCAGTAAAGTAACTTAGGACAATTTCTTTAATTTTAACCGGATCAAATTTCCACTAGTCATTATTATCTTTTAAAACTTTGATGATATTCTTTTATTTACAAAAAATAATAATTTTATGAATAAATTTATTATTTCTATCACCAAAGGTTATTCATTTAACTATGGAACAATGAAATTAATATTCTTGATAAAGGTCTATTAGTATTCCTTCCATAAAAAATTCATAAAATAAATTAAATAAGTTATTCCTTCAATTATGTTAAAAATACATTTAATAGTTTATATAAATTAATATAAATCGTGTTTGTATTAAAACATATAGTTTAATAAAAAATGTGAAAAATAATTTCTTAAATTTAAATCAAATAAACCGACAATAGTTGACTCCGGTCTCGAGGTCATTTTCAAGAAAAAAAAAAGTCTCAAAATAAATACGAATATTAAACTTGAAATCTATTATTAAAAAGAAGTGAACAAATTTGTAAAGACGGAGACAGTAAGAGCTGTTCTCAAAGTGAAAACAAAACATGACAATTCCACTACTGCAAAAAAAGCAGTAGAAAAAACATAGATCGAAATAGAAAAGAGTTATCTTAACGCAAGACTTCAGAAAAAAAAAATGCTTTTCGTCAACGACAGATAGGAGAAGTAAAAGACACGTGAGATGTGAAAAGGAACATTTAACGGAAAAAATTCGTAATTAGTAAAAATTTAATTAAGTATTATTTAATACTTTTTTATTATATAAAATTATAAATATTATTAAATAATATTTTAAATAATTTATATGAAAAATAATAGAATAAATTATAAACTATTTCTATATAATTTACATAATCTCTTTCAAACTTACACTAAATAAAAAAATAAATGGGACGCGTTATATAACACCACTGGTTGTATATTGCACACATTGACCATGTGAAAATGCATTGGAGAGGCTGCCCCGTATATGCTTTCGCCGTTCACACTCACAACTTCTTTTAAACACGTAAGAGTTTGAGTAATATATGGACAATGGTTTGAGAGGTAACCACGGCA